TTATTTACAGAGACCCAACAATTCCCACCAAGAGCAAGCAGCTTATGCTCAAGAATCAAGTAATTTATTAATAATGCTTTACTGGACAGTGGTCTAATGCTCAGGAAGCCAAATTTGAGGGTCCTCTTAAGGCTGGAGTTATTAGCAACTGGCTGGTCAGTGAGGCTTCTGGTAGACAAAGCCTTAATTGTCACGGTCTAATGTAGGGCTTGACCCAAATGCAGCCACATGGGGGTGAGTACAAAAATGTTTATTAAACAAAAGAACTTACAAAACTGTTGAACCAACTGAAACAGGAAGCAGAGCACGATGAACACAGGGGACTAAACACAAAACCAAAGCACAAGGAAGACAAGGACATAACTGGTAGACAGGGGATAACACGCAGGATGAAGGCCGTCTGCTTTCAGCAGGTCAGGGCAGCCCCAGAAAGAAGGCCAGTTATCTACAAAACTATATCCCTGCTCTCTACAGTGACGGGCCAGCCATCGGTTCAGAGACAAAAGCCTACTGTAAACCTTATCCTCATCCCTACCCTGCATACCCTGGCAAACTCAAACGTCCTTTGTGACCTCTGACTGCTTCATCCGTATGTCATTGGCACCGACATGAATAACTATGTTGTTGTTGTAGCTGGACCTAGTGGTGGAGTGTGCCGGGGTACCCTGTTTCTTCCTGTATGATAACAGCACCCTAAGATTACCCTCAAACAAACTCTGCTGCTGCGCTAGGGCCAACACTAGCAGGCTTGCTGTCAAGCCCGAGGCTACAACTATCTGGACACATCTCTTCAGTAGACACCTTGTCTGCGAAACAGCCACCACAAGCCATAGTCACAATAGCAAGGTAGCGTTAGCTGAAAGGCTAGTGGGACAGGCTAAGCTAGGCTAAGCTAAGCAAACAAGCAACCACTGAAAAAGAGAGAATTCAGTTTAAAATCCTGTTTAAGATGGACTGAATCTAACACCCAGTGAAGTTAGAAGATAGTGACAATTAACCAATCAATTGAAGAATCAGATAGATTTAGAATAGTAGAGTAAGGAGAGTCAGGAAACCAGCAGAGAAGTATTATTGATCTCAAAATTTTCGCATCACAGGAAAAGGAAGCACTGTCTACCCACCCATCGAACATCTCTCCAGCAGCTACGTCAGCTGCAGGGTTGAAGAAGGTCAAAGGTCAAGGTCATTCTGACCTCACAAAACACGTTTTTGGCAAGAATTCATACATTAATTAGGAGACAATTCAACTCGAATGTGGTGGCATTTTATATCCAAAAGGTCAAAGGTCAACTTCCCTGTGACATCATAATGTTCTGACAAAACACTTCTGATCATATTTCCTGTAACTTCATTGGTTGGTGAAGGAACACATCCATGAGGCAGTAATTGTAGTTCTTCATTCTTTTCATTGTCTTTCTTCTCTTTCTCTTCCCTATTCTCCTTCTGTTCCTTATCTTTTCTTCCTGGTTCTCCATCTCTTTATTTTCTTCACCTTTTCCTCCCCTGTTTCATCTTTCTTCCTGCCTTTTTCTTCATCATATCTTTGTCATTCTGGTTTTTCCTCATCAGTTTCCACATCTTTCTGCTCTTTTACTTCCTCCATCTCCTCATGTTTTCTCCCCTTTTTAAACTCCCCCATTACATCATAGTGATCGAGTGTGTGAAATGTGTGTGTGTGTTCAGTCAAGCTTTAGAGACTTGACAGACAAAAGCATTTAAAGACTCTGTGGACAGTCACCACCTCTGACCTGAGGGATAAATTAGATTTCTCTCAGCTTCGTCTGTCTCTCCCACAGATGTGTGTGTGTGTGTGTGTGTGTGTGTGTGTGTGTGTGTGTGTGTGTGTGTGTTTGTGTGTGCATGGTGCATTGATTATTGTGCTGTGTTCTCCTTGAGGATTGTTCTCTGAATTGGCATGATTGAAGGCGACTTAAAAGCAACAGCTACAGTAACACTGCTGATCACACATATCAGACACTCTGCTTGTGTACTCCAGATCTTTCTTGTGTCTACTCGGGCTCTTGTCGTCTTGTGAAATGTTTTCAGTCAGTCCACATTGAACCCTTTAGCATGTCACATGCATCAACCAACAGGTGTGTTTAAGTATATAAGCCAGACTCATAATTAAAACTTTTTTTGAATTTTGAGTGTATGATCAAAGTATCCTCTCTCTCTCTCTGGATATCAATCGGGTGAGAAAGTCTTAGCTCAGTAGTCCTTTGGTAATATACATCATGGACATCGAAGACATGGTAGCATGTTTAAAACAGGTAGCCTATTATTCCTTTAGGTGAAAACCTTAGAGTTGTCCCAAGAAGAGCAACAGCATCAGTAGTTAATTATGATGGAAGTAAAGGTCAGGATGGAAGAGATCAGCATGTTGTAGAGCCTCATTGTCCACCTAGAGAGGAGGTTGAGGTCCAGTCTGGAAAACCCTGGAGTTCCCTACTCCCCACTGACAGTCAGTGTTCAAACCTGAATGAAAAAGTAGTTTTAAACCTAACAAAGTCTCAGACAGGTGTGGTCCTGCTGCGAGCCACCTCAGACTAGAGAATGATTGTATGTTATTCTAGAAGACATGAACAATTTTATTTAGATAAGTTGTTTCAAACTTTGGTGTTAGAATTGAAATTGAAAGTTTGTTGCTGCCACATGAGTTTGGCTGAGGGTGAAGTTGAGTTTAATGTGTGTATTACATGTATATATACATAAATATATAATGTGTGCAGTTGTACAATAGTGCTGCTTCAGTCCTTAAATGTAAACATCTCACCTCACTTCAATAAAACATTTGTAAATATAATTGAACCAGTGAGGCAGTGTGGGGTATG